GCATTTACGAGGGTTTTAAGTTTTTAACCATCCTTTACCATGTAAGCTCATGTAGTATTGTAGTATTTGACACAAAATGTAAACTAAAGTACTATTCAACGTATGTAAGACTAAAAATATATTTCTTGTCATATAAACACAGTGTTTTAAGTTTTAACCATCTTAGTATTTGACAAAAATTTTAAAACAAAGTTCTAATCAGCATATGTAAAATTAAAAATATACTTCTTGTCATATAAACAGTAAATAAAGATACTGTTACGACAGCGGAAGTCATGTAACGCTAGTAACACGTCATGAGCTTCTAGAAAATTCATGTCCGTTCGTGAAGCCTCGAGTGTTTACTAGATGTGCGGTATTATTGTATATAAGACCGCCAAGAACTGACGGCAACAATGGAATTGAATTGCAGACAGAGATAGAGACTACAATTGAGTCAAGCGCGTAAATCGTTCGTTCATTGTGAATTATAGCGTTTGTTTAAGTTATAGCGTGACTGTGGAAATTAAGTGTATTGCAAAGTTGTATTGAGAAAGAATAAACTAGTTTTATTTAAGAAAGGACTTGTATCGCTAAAGATTTTTCGGAAATAATTTTTACGGCAAATTAACAAACGAACAGAGACGTAACAATACTTTTGCTTTTCAGTATCATGGTCATGCATTGGTTTCTTGTTTCTTTATATGAGTTTTTATTATAAATTTTAGTACTGCACAAGTATGGGTCTACTGCACGTTAAAATAAACCCTGCGTAATACACTTGTTATATAAACCTGAAGAAGTTGGTTAACGGTAATAACGTAATACACTTGCTATCTAAACCTGAAGAAGTTGGTTAACGATGATAACTTAATACACTTGTTATATAAGCCTGAAGAAGTTGGTTAACGGTGATAACGTAATACACTTGTTATATAAACCTGAAGAAGTTGGTTAACGGTGATAACGTAATACACTTGTTATATAAACCTGAAGAAGTTGGTTAACGGTGATAACGTAATACATTTGTTATATAAACCTGAAGAAGTTGA